TTATTAAAATTAAAGTGAAAGTTTATTTAATGAAGACTTTGATTTCAGTAATATCTATAATAGTTATAATAATAATACTATGGCCAGTGAAGATTTTAATAATATGCAAGTTAAAGTTAATAATAATATTAACTCAAAAAAACTTAAATATAAACATCTTGCCAAAAAATTTAAAATAGAATCCCAATTAGAAAAAAACTTATCTATAGATTGATTTAGTAATAAAATGAAATAGCAAATATATGGTTTATACATGGTGTACTGATACAAAATGTAACAATATTTTTGTAACTAGTACAGAATATTTTAAAGAGCAGTATCTTCAATAGCATATGAAGCAAATTAATCATAAAAAGGTTATATATGCTTATAGTAAAGATCAAGTTAGTATTATAACTAGTATGTTGCGACATACTAAATCTGACCAATTACAAACAATAAGAAAAATAATAAATATTTATTTTCTTATAAAGCATAATCTTGCTACACATATATATGAAGATTTATGCTATCTTATTGAGTTGCAAATTTAAAATACCAATGATAATATTTTACTAGATAGCACAAGTCTTTTAAATTTACCTGTATTAACAACTACAACTCAATCTAGCTGTAGTAAATATGGTTCATATATTAATAACTATGTGGTAAACAATTTATTACTGCAATTGTATATATTATTGAGGAAGCTACACTTAATGAATTACAAACATCTATAATATGGAGTTTTATGATCGATAAAAGCAATATGATTACTAATAAAAAAATTTTGCTATTGTTTCAAGATATATATCATATAATATACCTATATTTTATTATTTAAGTATTATTAAACTTCAAAATGCTTCATTAAATACAATTCTTAAAGACTTGGATCAATTTATTATCACTATTAGAAAAGCTTTACCACTTTGGAAGTGATAGCACAAGTATTAATTTAGACAAATATTATTTTAATAATCTATTTAAATTATATTAGCTTATTAGTAAGAGGTTTTAAAATTAATATCAAAAAAGTTTTTTATTTTTCTGATTTATAGAAGATGTAAATGAAATAGCAACATAGTTAAAAACTCATCTTTCATTTCTTACTGAACATCATTGTATAAGTCACTATTTAGCT